ACGACGAACGACGACGGACGACAATGGTCCCCCCTTCTTTAAATAATGTAAAAATTTTGAAATTTTCGTAACTCAACTAACTACATTTTTTTATGTATTTCGAACTCTAGAACTCATTTCCGGCTTCTGTTTTGATACCTGCAACCGTTTTTGCAGAATCGACCGTTGAAATTTCGAAATATTTGAAATTTTCAAAAATTCGCATTTCTCAGCGATTTTTTCGAAAATGTTGCTTCGTGACCATCAACAAGCTATATTTTTGGAATCAGCGTGTCGAGATCTACGTCCCTGAATTTTTTCATAATTTTTAGACAACTTTTTTAAAATTGAAATTTTTTAATGGTCCCCCTTCTTCAAATTTCGCAAAAATTTTGACATTTTCGAAACTCAACCAAACACATTTTCTTGTAGATTCGAGCTCTGGAATTCAAATCCGGCTTCGATTTTTTGATACCTGCAACCGTTTTTCCAGAATCGACCGTTGAAATTTCGAAATTTTCGCATTTCTCAGCGATTTTTTCGAAAATGTTGCTTCGTGACCATCAACATGCTGTATTTTCGGAATCAGCGTCTCGAGATCTACGTCTCTGAATTTTTTCCTAATTTTTAGACAACTTTTTTAAAAATGAAATATTTTAATGGTCCCCTTCAAATTTCGCAAAAATTTTGACATTTTCGAAACTCAACTAAACACATTTTCTTGGAGATTTCGAGCTCTAGAACTCAAATCCGGCTTCGGTTTTTCTTACCTGCAACCGTTTTTCCAGAATCGACAGTTGAAATTTCGAAATTTTTGAAATTTTCAAAAATTCGCATTTCGTACTGATTTTTTCGAAAATGTTGCTTCGTGACCATCAACATGCTATATTTTTGAAATCAGCGTGTCAAGATCTACGTCCCTGAATTCTTTCATAATTTTTACACAACTTTTTTAAAAATGAAATTTTTATAAGGAAATATCGATTTTGTAATTAGGCTCCGCCCCATAATTGCAAAATCCATATTCCTTACAAAAATGTACCATTTTATCAACTTTTTAAGATTCTTGTTGTGAAAAGATGACTATGTATATTAAAAATATATATATAAGCCCCGCCCACCCACCCTGTCTCAATTCTGATGATCTTTACTTTATATTTTCTCGACGTTTCATGACCCCTACGAGGAATTAAAAACATGTTTTTGAGTATCGTGTTATTCAAAGAATACCAATGCATATTAAGAAAAAATTAAAGCCAAAGATTAAGCCCACCCATCTGTCTTAATCTAAATAGTTATGAAGGTTTCATTCGTTGGCGGACGTAGGGGCGGAGCCTAATGGCAAAATCCATATTTCCTGAGAAAAATTTACCATTTTAAAAGTGTTTTAAGTTTTTAAGAATTATCAGAATTGAGGTGGGGTAGGTGGGCGTGGTTATATTTTGCCTTTTTCTCTTAATATACATGGTGTTCTTTGAGCAACATGATACTCAAAAACATGTTTTTAATTTCTTGTGAAAAAATCGAAGTATCGGTTTTTCATTCTTCAATTCTTCGATTTTTCGAATTATCGACTTTGCTTTTTTGTTTTTTCGATTTCTCAATTTTCCATTTTGTTAATTTCGCAATTTTTGGATATTTCTTTTAGTTTTGGGATTTTTTAATATCTCGTTTTTCCGACTTTTCGATTTTTCGACTTCTGGATTTTTCGATTTTTTTATTTTTTGGATTTTCCGTTTTTTGGCATGTCGATTTACTTTTTTTTTATTATTTATATTACGAATCATTGAAAAATTGGAAAATCGAAAAATTAAAAAATAAATTGGAAAATCGAAAATTTAAAAATTCCGAAAATTGAAATATGGAAGAACTGAAAATTTGAAAAATTCAAAACGGAGAAATCGAATCTGAAACATCAAAAAGTTTAAAAATAAAATATCGAAAAACTGGCAAATCCAGAAAATGAAAATTTTCCAAAATTGAAATGCTGAAAAACCGGGAAATCGAAAAATTGAAAAACCTAGATGTCGAGAAAACGAAAAATCAAAAAATTGAAATATTCACAAATGAAAAAATTGGGTAATCGAAACATCAAAAAATTTTAAAAAGCAAAAAATTGAGAAATCGCAAAAATCAAAACTTTAAAACAACGAATAAATGTCGAAAAATTGGGAAACCAAAAAATTGAAAAATCTAAAATTGAAAAATTGAAGAACAGGTAATATCGAAAAATCGAGAACTCGAAAAATCCAAAATTTAAGAATGAAAAATCAGAAAATTGAAGAATCGAATAACTGAAAAATCGAGAACTGAAAAATGAAATTTTCAAAAATTCGCATTTCGCACCGATTTTTTCGAAAATGTTGCTTCGTGACCATCAACATGCCGTATTTTAGGAATCAGCGTGTCGAGATCTACGTCCCTGAGTTTTTTCAAAATTTTTAAACAACTTTTTTAAAATTGAAATTTTTTAATGGTCCCCCCTCCAAATTTCGCAAAAATTTTGACATTTTCGAAACTTAACTAAACACATTCTCTTGTAGATTTCGAACTCTAGAACTCGCTTCCGGCCTCGATTTTTTGATACCTGCAACCGTTTTTCCAGAATCGACAGTCGAAATTTCGAAAGTTTTGAAATTTTCAAAAAATCGCATTTTGCAGCGATTTTTTCGAAAATGTTGCTTCCTCACCATCAACATGCTATATTTTTGGAATCAGCTTGTCGAAATCTAAGTCTCTGATATTTTTCATAATTTTTAGACAAGGTTTTTAAAATTGAAATTTTTTAATGGTCAAATTCTTCTTCCGTCTTCAAATTTCGCAAAAATGACATTTTCGAAACTCAACTAAACACTTTTTCTTGTAATTTTCGAGCTCTGGAACTCAAATCCGGCTTCTGTTTTTTAAAATTAAAAAATTAATTGGAAAATCGAAAATTTAAAAATTCCGAAAATTGAAAAATTGAAATATAGAAGAACTGAAAACTCAAGAAATCGAAACAGAAAAAATCTAAAAACTGAAAAATTGAAATATAGAAGAACTGAAAACTCAAGAAATCGAAACAGAAAAAATCTAAAAACTGAAAAATCGAAAAATTGAAAACACGTAAAATCAAAAAATGAAAAGCCAAAAAATCGAAACATCAAAGAATTGAAAATCTAAAACTTAAAAATTCGAAAATTGAAAAATTGAAGAACTGAAATAGCGAAAAATCGAAAAATCCAAAATTTAAGAATGAAAAATCAGAATTTTTTCGAAAATGTTGCTTCGTGACCATCAACATGCTATATTTTTGGAAACAGCGTGTCGAGATCTACATCCCTGAATTTTTTCATAATTTTTAGACAACTTTTTTAAAATTGAAATTTTTTAATGGTTCCCCCTTCGCTTTTGACGTATCTCTTCAAATAAGCGAGAAAAATGCAAATTTGTTTTTTTTGGAATTTTCAAAATTGGTCCGTCGTTCGTCGTTCATAAAGTCGTTAATATCCAAAAATTGCAAAAATTCCAACAAGTCAAAAAGTCCAAAACAATCCAAAAAAATCGAAAAAAATGTAAGAGACCAAAGAATTCAAAAAGTCCAAAAAAAATCCAGAAAAGTCGTAAAAATCCAGAAAAACTGAAAAATCTAAAACAATAAGTGTTTCGGGTCGGGGGCTATCAGTGGTGTCTCGCCCGAAGACGTCGTCTGTCGTCGTCGGACGAATTTTTTTCGATTTTTTTGGATTATTTCGATTTTTTGGATTTTTTAAAATTATTTTAAATTGTTTTGAATTTTTTGGACTTTTTTAATTTTTTTTTCGATTTTTCTGAATTTTTTGCAATTTTTGGATTTTACTTTACGGACGACGAACGACGACGGACGACAATGGTCCCCCCTTCTTTAAATAACGTAAAAATTTCTCAGCTAAATACATTTTTATATGAATTTCGAGCTCTAGAACTCAAATCCGGCTTCGATTTTTTGATACATGCAACCGTTTTTCCAGAATCGACCGTTGAAATTTCGAAATTTTTGAAATTTTCAAAAAATCACATTTCGCAGCGGTTGTTTCGAAAATGTTGCTTCGTGACCACCAACATGCTATATTTGTGGAATCAGCGTGTCGAGATCTACGTCCCTGATTTTTTTCATAATTTTTAGACAACTTTTTAAAAATTGAAAAAATTTAAAATCGAAAAATCGAATCGAAAAAAAATCATCACAATTGAGATAGGGCGGATGGGCGGGGTTACATTTTACATTTTTGTTTTAATTTGTGTAAGGAAATATCGATTTTGTAATTAGGCTCCGCCCCATAATTGCCATTGCCATGCAATGTACCATTTTAACCACTTTTTAAGTTTCTTGTTGTGAAAAGATGACTATGTATATTAAAGAAAAAAAGGCAAAATATAAGCCCCGCCCACCCACCCGATCTTAATTGTGATGATCTTTACTTTATATTTTCTCGACGTTTCATGACCCCTACAGAATGAAAAAAATAGTCTCGGGTTTCCGTCTGTCTGATATATTTTTTAAAGAAGGTGAAACCTTCTCGATCTGTCTTTTTACAGAACAAGAAACTTTCTTGGGGGCCCCATGTGTCTTTTTTTTTAATGAAAGTGAAACCTTGGGGGCCCCAAGTATCTTCTAGTTCTAGTTCAAGGGCGAAAGAAGCTCTGTCGAAATAACGTTCGACCAATTTTTTTATTCGTCGTAAGCCGAGGGGGCGGAGCGTAATTATTATACAAAATCCTTATTTCTCTACAAGAATTAAAAAATATGTTTTCGAGTATCGTGTCATTCAAAGAATACTTACGTATATTAAGAAAAAAAACAAGCCAAAAATTAAGCCCCACCCATATTCATCCCAAGCTCAATTGCGATGAATTTCTCATTCGTTGTCAGACCGAGGGGCGGAGCCTAATTTTCTTTCTTTCGTACCAACGTAAACCCCGACTTGATGCAGATTCATCTGAAACCCATTCTAATCCGGTTATAAATTTAACCTAGTCTGTTCACGGTGTCTTCTTTATAGAAGAAGCAAAGCTCGCCGTCCTCAAAGAAACCCAAAATCAACCAACCTTCGCAGCACAGACGTCCCACTTTTGCACTAAGTTACTAGTAGGCGAAGCCACAATCCAAGCCAATCAGATCGCCATCAAACACGACTTAAACACCGCCATGGGGGGCGTTTCGCTCGACAGAATCGACTTCTTCGGGCCGTCGAGTACCTTCATGTCCGTCGAAGGCAGCCACTACTACGTCAACGTCAACTTACCGCGGCCGCGCGACTTCAAACCCCCCAAGCACCAACTACTTAAGTACTACATACTCAGAAGCGGCAAATTCTGCGAAATTCTAGCATCCCCGACTCAGAGTGTGGTGAAATGTAAACACAAAGAAACGAACGTCGAATGCGTAATCCACACCGACAACGAGCTATCAGTTTTCAATGGCCGCCTCATCAAGTACTACGTATCTCTAGACCCCAAGTTGCGCCAGCTGTTCTTCGTGATTACGTGCTGGTGGAAGTTCAACGACGTGGAGGAACGAACGTCGTTCTCGATTTATGCTATATATTTAATGATAATTTTCTATCTCCAACAAGAGCCTTTGAAGCTGCCTAGTGTGAGTAGGCTCCAACAGAACGCTTGTCCGGTCTATAGACAGACGTGGAATGTGGCCTTTATACCGTCGAGATTCCCCAATCAAGCTTTGAAAGCCGCAACAATCAAAGACTTGGTGTTCGGTTTTTTCAAGTTTTACGCGACTTTCGATTTTTACTCTTACGTAGTGGCTCCTTTTGTGGGTTTGGCCGTCGATAAAGTCAACTTTTTGAAACCATTTCGGCTGCCAGTGTGTTACAAGTCTTTTGTTAAATTGGGTGCTAGTTTGACTTTCGGGATGGGGGCCTGGATTCAAGACCCGTTTGAACACACTAGGAACGTCACGGATTCTGACAATATCGTGTACGTTGATAGATTTACGTCACTGTGTCGGGTGGCTCTTGTGGGGAGCTCAGGTGAAAACGAATTATTATATAGATTAATGAGTCCGGGTGTCAAGATTGACCATGGGGTTGAAATCGAGAAAGACGAGACCTGGGAAGAGCAAAAGTGGATGCAGAAAGTTAAAAATGTGCTGCTGAGTATTTTAAAGAAAATTTTATACTGTGAGGTTGTTTTGATTGACCAGAAGAAGATGAACGTGGATGGTGGTACCAAAGGGGTGTTTGAACGCACTGTGGTCACTTGTAAAGGTACCAAAGAGGTGTGGAATGGTCGAGTTAATATTGCCAAATTGTACGAAACGCACATCCCTCTCGGTACCAACTGCTACACCTCCGATAAGTTTGTGTCAAAAATTATAATGAAGGATTGTCAACGCGTTTCCACGTTCGGGTTAAGTGTGGAGATGTTGTTCACGCGGAACCCAACGACCGTGAAGATCACAGTGTTAGAAGAGCAACTGTCACACTTGACCCATTTTCTTTACACTAGAATGTTGGCAGTACTGGAAACGTCGCAAGTCGATCGACAAATTTGGAGCCCTTTGCAGTTCCGTATCGAGACTAAGTCGCCCCCCAGCGCCATCTGCGAGCCCTACAAAATCTTGGTTAAAGGTAAGTAAGAAAATCGTGTTAGCATGATCGCTGTGACACTTTTGTAGACAACATCAACTACGCAATGATGCTCCAAATGCACGACTATTTTTCAAATTTTGGCAAAATCGTGGAAGTGAAAGTCCTGGGTGAGGACACAAAACTGGCGCTTGAGTATTGTTTCGCCGATCGTGACGTCTATCTTTTGGTTATACAAAGCGAGCACTTATTTTTAAAAAATAAGTTGAAAATAATTCCGCTGGCTCCGTTGAAAACGACAATTCCGAATGGTAAGTAATTCAAATTGTTGATAGTGAAATTAAGTCGCTTTTGTAGCTAAATTTAAGGACCGGAGACTCGAGATAGTGCACGGCGTTGCCAAATTTACCACCTTCCAACAACAAGTGGACGACTTGTTGTGTCAAGTTAATTCTTACAAAGAAAAGGCTGAACAAAAGTACAAACTGATTTTAAACAACTTTGGTACTACTTTGTCTGGAAAGTTTACCTGTAGCGACGTTGTCGGTACGAATTTGGCTGCCGTGGATGTTAGTACTGACTTTGTAGAAGTGTATGTTGAACCCGTGACTAAGCCTGAAAGTTTGAAAGACTTGATTGACGCCAGTGGCAGTTTTTACTCAGTGTCGCTCACTAGTGACACCTTAATCACTTGCAAACACGTCAAAACTGAACTTAAGTGCCACCTACGAGTCAACAAGTTGACGATGAAGCGCCGTCTTTTGATCCAGTATTACTTAAGTTTAGACGCTAAAATCCCGAAGTTTGTGACTTTGGTTAAGTTTTGGGTGGACTATTACGACTTAGTTGACGCTTTCACAGACAGCGCGATGTATCTTATGGCAATTTTCTACCTACAGCAACAACCGTATAACTTACCTTGTGTTAAAAATCTCCAAGACGGGGTAACCCCAGAAGTCACTGAAGGTTGGAATTGTGCCTATGCTGAAGTCCCCGAATTCACAAACCCCGCACTGGAATCTGCCACAATTCTAGATTTACTAAGCGGCTTTTTCAAGTTTTACGCCAATTTTGATTACGTTACAAACTTAATTTCGCCATATTTCGGTTCGCCTATCCCTAAAACGAGTTTTTTGAAACCTTTTACCCTCCCCGACGGGTTTGAACAATTCCAAACCCTCCGAAAAAACCTCGACGCGAACTCGGGTGTTTTCGTGCAAGACTTTTTCGACCACCGGCGCAATCTTGCAAGTTCGGCTTCTCTGAACTGCATGGGGGGCTTTACCAATCTTTGTCGAACGTCGCTGCAGCTCATCAACTCCGACGAGAACTTTCTCTTATACAAACTACTGATTAACGTCCAGCGGCACATTTTCGAATACCCTGAGTTCGTGATCAATAAAAATGACGAGCGAAGCGAGCAGGGGTGGTTTCAGGGTGTTAAAACTATGACCGTGAAGATTCTGACGGACGTTTTGGACTATAAATTGTCGAAGGCGGTTTTTGGGGGTGAAGTGGTGAGTTTTGAGTTCGTCGGGCAACATAACGTGTGGAATGACAGGGTTAAAGCGATGAAGAAGCGCTCAGGGCGGCGAGGGGTGGATCGAGAGGTGGCGATTAGTTCCCGGGTTGTTCGGGACGCTCCCGAAAAAATCAACTGGAAACTGTTTCTGGATTTGTTTTTTTTGAAAGACCCGTGTCGCGTCAAGGTTATTTTTAGACAGAAACCGGGCTGTTTTAATGTGTTTCACGTCTGTCATTTTCTGTACACGAAGTTGGTGATGTTTTTGGAGGAAATTAAGGATGACCCAGAGGAAATTGGCGAGGTTTCAGGGGTTGACGATAGTGACAAGAAATTAGTTCCTGAGGAAGAGGAAGACGACGATGTTCCGTCCGACTTCTTCGACGACTTTGCGAACGAGGATTTCTTAGACGGGTTGAACATTCTGGACGACAAGGTAGCTGAAGTTGCGAAAATCACGAAACCCGATTATCACAAAGAGAACGAATCCAACAACAAGAAAGTACTTAAGTCGAGTGACAAAGAACGGTCTTCGACTGAGAACGAGTCTAAAGACAAAAAGATGTTAAAATCGGGCAAGCAACATAAGGAACGGTCTTCAGTTAAAGATGGGTGTGACGATGATAGAATATTGCAGCCTGGCCATGCGCTCAGGGAACGACTGAGACTACGAGACGAACGACGCGAACGTGCCAGGTCTCGAATACGCTTGAAGTCAAAAAGTCGGTTTGAATCTAGAGATAGATCTAAGATAAGTTCGAATAGTACAGTCCGGAAGTACATCACGACCACGAGTCGGATTGTTATTAAAACTAGAGTGAGAAGTAGAACACCGTCACCGTGTCGTTCCAAACGGGAAAAAAGAAGTAGAAGTCGAGAGTGTCGTTCCAGAAGACTTCCACACAGGTTTACCACCAGAAATAGAACTAGATCTCCTTCACCGTACAGTTCGAAACGACGAAAAAGAAGCAGAAGCCCCGATTATCGCTCCAGAAGGCGCAGTTTGAGCAGAGGTTCCAACAAATCGCCTACTAGAAGGGTCCTTCCACAGAACTCCTTGCTGGAAGAAATCAAGAAAAAAATCAACGAGGTTAAACCTCGTATCGCTTTGCCCAGGGTACAACCAGTACCAATGACTCGTGTTCCTCTGATTCCTAACCCACGCCCACTTTACAACGAAAATTTTGTTGTGGCTACTCCCGTTCCCTACCAGCAACGAGTATTAGCACCCATACCGCTAATTCCGCTTCCAGAAACTACGCCTTCAGCTGAAACAACCCAACGAGATACATCTGCGAATCATTCAGTTTTTGCCCATCTCCAGAAAAAAGCTAAAGGTAAGTGAATGAGTTAGATGGCACCAATCACAAATGTTTTTGTAGTACTTCGGCGCTGTCACGATTTGACTCAATTTCTGAACCACAATCCGCGTCCGACTTGTTTGACTAAATCCTTGCCGAAATTGTCTACGTCGCCAAGGTACCAGTCGCCGGTGAAGACAGCGCTGGATCTGTCGTTCAAGTTTACGTCACCGCCGGAGCAACCTGTCAAGGATACCTACGCGGAGGCGCTCCACAAGGTTGTGGAACAAGCCGGAATGGTGAAGGAAGTTGGTGTCAAGAGAGACAAAGTCGTGGATAAAGTTACCGAAGTCCTGGAAACGCTGAAGAAGGCCTTGTCTGACGCAGTACAGAAGGAATGAATTGTGCCATAAAACTTAGTCAATTCAAATTTTTTAATGTCTATAATTTTCTACGTACTTAGTTCTATCCAACTAAAGACTCATTTTTTGAAAATCTATCATTTTCTACGTACTTAGTTTTATCCAACTAAAGACTTATTTTGTTTTTTGTAAATAGTTTGATTCCTATATGAATGTTATATTATTTTTGTATACCGTATTGTTAATTCTATTGAAAATACATTATTATTTTTATCCCTTTTATTGTCTACCAACCTACAGAACGAATCCAAAATTGAAAATATCGATGAATTGAGAAACCCAGACTTTTAGAATTTCCAAAAACTGAAATGTTGGAAAATTGAGAAATCAAATAAAGAAATTGTAAAACTGAAAAAGTGAATAATCAAAAAATGTACAATTTAAAAAATCAAAAAATTCAAAAATAGAAATATGGAAGAATTGAAAAATCGAAAAAACGAGAAATCGAGAAACCGAAATAAAAAAATCGGAAATCGATATGTCAAAAATTCTAAAAAGTGAAAAATTTTAAATTAAAAATCCCAAAATTGAAAAAAAGGAAAATCGACAAATCGAGAAGTTCAAAAATCGAAAAATTGATAATTCGAAATTGTCCAAAATCGAAAACTCCGAAATCGAAACGTCAAAAAATCTAAAAAGCGAAAAATTTTAAATTAAAAATCCCAAAATTAAAAAAAAAAGAAAATCGGCAAATCAAGAAGTTCAAAAATCAAAAAATTGAGAATTCGAAATTGTCCAAAATCGAAAACTCCAAAAATTATTTAAAATTAAAAAAATCGAGAAATCGAAACATCAAAAAACTGAAAAATGTAAAATTTAAAAAATTTAATTCAAGAATCAAAAACTGAAAATTTAAAATATTGAAAATTCCAAAAATTAAATGAGGAAAAACTGGGAAATCGAAGAGCCGAAAAAGTCGAACATTTAAAAGGAAGAGGAATGAAGCGTCAAAAAATCTAAAAATAGGAAAATTATCATCAAATAATCGAGAAATCGAAAAGTCAGGAAGTTCAAAAATCGAAAAACTAAAGAGTTCAAAATTACTCAAAATGGAAAAATCTAAAAGTTATTAATAATAAAAAAATCTAGAAACTGAACAATCAAAGTAAACATATTAAGAAAAAAAGCCAAAATGTAGCCCCGCCCACCCGCCCTACCTCAATTGTGAAGTTTTTTTTTATTTGTCGTACGCCAAGAAGGCGGAGCTTAATAGCAAAATTCTTATTGTTTCTGTACAAGAAATTACCATGCACTATTTACGCTAACCGTGTAACTGAAAAGTCGAAAAATTAATAATTTTTTAATATCGATGAATGGAATAACCGAAAAGTCGAAAAATCCACAGAATCGAAATATCAAATAATCCAAAAATGAAAATATCGATAAACTGAAAACCCAGACTTTTAGAATTTCCAAAAACTAAAATGTTGGAAAATTGAGAAATCGAATAAAGAAATTGTAAAACTGAAAGATTGAATAATCAAAAAATGTAGAATTTAAAAAATCAAAAAAAAAATCGAGAAACCGAAATTAAGAAATTGAAAAGTCGAATATCGAAACGTCAAAAAATCTAAAAATTGAAAAAAAAAAGGAAAATCGGAAAATCGAACAATTGACAAATCGCGAAGTTCAAAACTCGAAATAGTTCAAAATCGATAAATCCAAAAACTGAACAATCGAAAAATTGGAAAACCGAGAAGTCGAAAAATCGAAACATCAAAAAACTGAAAATTTCAAATACTGAAAAATGTAGAAACTGAAAAATTCCAAAAATTAAATGAGGGAAAATTGGGAAATCGAAGAGGCGAAAAAGTTCAACATTTAAATAATCTGCAAATCAAAACATCGAAAAATACAAAAATCCCGGAATTGAAGCGTCAGAAAATGTAAAAATAGAAGAATTTTAAATGAAAAATCGAAATGTCGAACAATCGAGACGTCGAAAAGTCAGGAAGTTCAAAAATCGAAAATCTGAGAATTCAAAATTACTCAAAACCGAAAAATCCAAAAGTTATTTATAATAAAAAAAACAAATCTAGAAACTAAACAATCAAAAAATTAAAAGCCGAAAAGTCGAACAACTGAAAAATCTAGAAATCGAAACATAAAAAAATTTTAAACTGAAACATTGCGGAATGAAACATCAAAAATCGAGTACTGGAAACATCAAAAAGGTGAAAATTGAAAGATTTAAGTCTTAAAAAAAATCGATAAATCTGAAAATTGAACAAAAATCGAGTAAATCGAAAAATCTAAAATCTAGAAGTCCAAAGATCGATAAATCAAAAACTCCAAGATTTAAAAAAATTGAAAATACGGTAAACTGAAGAATCGAAAAACTGAAAAATTCCAAAAATAAAATAAGGAAAAATTCGGAAATTGAAAAATCGGAGCATCAAAAAATTGGAAAATCCAAAAATCGAAAACGAAAAAGTCGGAACAATTGAAAAATCTAGAAATCGAAAAATTCAAAAGTCGAGGAATTGATGCGTCAGAAAATCTAAAAATAGAAAAATTTTAAATGAAAAATCCAAAAATTGGAAAATCGAAAAATCGAAAGGTCGAACAATCGAGAAATCGAAAATCTGAGAGTTCTAAATGACTCAAAATCGAAAAATCGAAAACTTATTTATAATGAAAAAAAATCTAGAAACTGAACAATCAAAAAATCAAAAGCCGAAAAAATCGAACATTTGAAAAATCCAGAAATCGAAACATCAAAAAATGTAAAAATTGAAACATCGAGAAAGAATCATCAAAAATTGAGAAGTGGCGAAGTTGATAAATAGAAAAATGGAGAAATCAAAATGGTCTAAAATCGAAAACTCGGAAAGTCGAAAATTGGAAAGTTGAAAGATTCGATATTAAAAAAATACGATAAATCTAAAAATTGAACAATCGGTAAATCTAGAAATCAGAACGTTAAAAAAATAAAAACTATCAAATTGAAAGATTAAAATATCGAAAAAACGAAGAAACGAAAAACTGAAAAAAATTAAATTTAAAAATCAAAAATTGAAAATTTGGAAATCGGTAAATTGAAGAATTGAAAAACTGAAAAATTCCAAAAATAAAATGAAGAAAAATTGGGAAATCGAAAAATTGAAAAATCTAGAAATCGAAAGTTGAGAATTCGAAATTGTCCAAAATCGATAAATCCAAAAACGAAACAATCGAAAAATTGGAAAACCGAGAAGTCGAAAAATCGAAACATCAAAAAACTGAAAAATGTAAAATTTAAAAAATTTAATTTAAGAAATTTAATTTAAGAATCAAAAACTGCAAATTTTAAATACTGAAAAATCTAGAAACTGAAAATTTCCAAAAATTAAATGCGGAAAAATTGGGAAGTCGAAGAGCCAAAAAAGTCGAACATTTAAAAATCTGCAAATCGAAAAATTCAAAAATCGAGGGATTGAAGCGTCAAAAAACCTAAAAGTAGAAAAATTTTGAATTAAAAATCCAAAAATTGGACAATCGAAACATCGAAAGTTCGAACAATCCAGAAATCGAAAAGTCAAGAAGATTAAAAATCGAAAAACTGAGAGTTCAGAATTACTCAAAATCGAAAAATTTAAAAGTTATTTAAATAAATCGATAAATCTGAAAATTGAACAAAAATAAAAAACCGAGAAAACGAAAACTCCAATATTTAAAAAATCTGAAATTTGAAAATACGGTAAACTGAAGACTTGGAAAACTGAAAAATTCCTAAACTAAAATAAGGAAAAATTCAGAAATTGAAAAATTGAAACATCGAGAATTGAAACATCAAAAATCGAGAACTCGAAAAGTCGCCATGTAGAAAAATGGAGAAATCAAAATAGTCCAAAATGGAAAACTCGGAAAGTTGAAAATTGGAAAGTTGAAAGATTCGAAATTAAAAAAATACAACGAAAAATCGATAAATCAATAAGTCAAAACGTCAAAAACCTGAAAACTGTAAAATTCCAAAAATTGAAAGATTAAAATATCTAAGAATCGAAAAACTGAAAAAAATTAAATTTACAAATCAAAAATTGAAAAATTGGAAAACCGAGGGATCGAAAACTCCAAAATTTAAAAAATCGAAAATTTCTAAATCAGTAAATTAAAGAATTGAAAAACTAAAAAACTGCTGCAACTCATTAACTCCGACGAGAACTTCCTCTTATACAAACTCCTGATCAACGTCCAGCGGCACATTTTCGAATACCCTGAGTTCGTGATCAATAAAAGCGACGAGCGAAGCGAGCAGGGGTGGTTTCAGGGTGTTAAAACTCTGACCGTGAAGATTCTGACGGACGTTTTGGACTATAAATTGTCGAAGGCGGTTTTTGGGGGTGAAGTGGTGAGTTTTGAGTTCGTCGGGCAACATAATGTGTGGAATGAGAGGGTTAAAGCGATGAAGAAGCGCTCAGGGCGGCGAGGGGTGGATCGTGAGGTGGCGATTAGTTCCCGGGTTGTTCGGGACGCTCCCGAAAAAATCAACTGGAAACTGTTTCTGGATTTGTTTTTTTTGAAAGACCCGTGCCGCGTCAAGGTTATTTTTCGACAGAAACCGGGGTGTTTTAATGTGTTTCACGTCTGTCATTTTCTGTATACGAAGTTGGTGATGTTTTTGGAGGAAATTATGGATGACCCAGAGGAAATTGGCGAGGTTTCAGTAGAAATGCAGTCTGACGATAGTGACAAGAAATTAGTTCCTGAGGAAGAGGAAGACGACGATGTTCCGTCCGACTTCTTCGACGACTTTGCGAACGAGGATTTCTTAGACGGGTTGGACATTCTGGACGACAAGGTAGCTGAAGTTGCGAAAATCACGAAACCCGATTATCACAAAGAGAACGAATCCAACAACAAGAAAGTACTTAAGTCGAGTGACAAAGAACGGTCTTCGTCTGAGAACGAGTCTAAAGACAAAAAGATGTTAAAATCGGGCAAGCAACATGAGGAACGGTCTTCAGTTAAAGATGGGTGTGACGATGATAGAATATTGCAGCCTGGCCATGCGCTCAGGGAACGACTGAGATTACGAGACGAACGACGCGAACGCGCCAGGTCTCGAATACGCTTGAAGTCAAAAAGTCGGTTTGAATCTAGAGATAGATCTAAGATAAGTTCGAATAGTACAGTCCGGAAGTACATCACGACCACGAGTCGGATTGTTATTAAAACTAGAGTGAGAAGTAGA